GGCTTCTGTAAATACTTTAGCAGAAAGGCATGTATATTCCAGTTACCCAATTAAGAAATGCAGAAATAGATATTAACGGGTTATATACCAAACAGGTTCCCATCCCAAAATCATCCTGAAGATAGCTTAGTAGATAACACATTTTATCCTATTTCTTTAAGGTGACAACATATTCAGAAGTGTGTGTGTTTAGTTTAGGGAATATATTAAACATACATTTCTGCAGGAACACTTATGATCTTTGTCTCCTTTCCCTTAAACTCTAAACCAGTGATGGCGAACCTTTTGAGTTCGGCGTGTCAGCATTTTGAAAAACCCTAACTTAACTCTGGTGCCGTGTCACATATAGAAGTTTTTTGATATTTGCAACCATAGTAAAACAAAGATTTATATTTTTGATATTTATTTTATATATTTAAATGCCATTTAACAAAGAAAAATCAACCAAAAAAATGAGTTCGCGTGTCACCTCTGACACGCGTGCCATAGGTTCGCCATCACTGCTCTAAACCATCTAAGCATATACATTTTCAAATTTGGTAAAGATAGTTACTCAACTAACCAAATTAAGAACAGACAACATCAAAGAAAATCTTGCCCCTCCAGAATTCTAATATGTACCTTACAAAGAGTAAATTAGATTTTTTTAAAAATTTTACTTTGACTTTTATTTTTTAAATTTATTTTTATTAATTTCAGAGGGAGAGAGAGATAGAAGCATCAGTGATGAGAGAAAATCATTGATCGGCTGCCTCCTGCAGTGCACCTACCAGGAATTGAGCCCACAACCCAGGCATGTGCCCTGACTGGGAATTGAACTGTGACCTACTGGCTCACAGGTCAACGCTCAACCTCTGAGCAACACTGGCCAGAGTACTTTGACTTTTAGAGAACTCACTCCTTTAAGGGTGTGTGATATATAACCTTTTAAAACATATACTTTTTTATTGATTTTAGAGAGAGGGAGAAAGAGAGAGAAACGTCAATGAGAGGGAATCATCGATCATTTGCCTCCTGCATGCCCCCTACTGGGGATCAAGCCCACAACCCTTGGAATTGAACTGTGACTTCGTGGTTCATGGGTCAATGCTCAGCCATGTGCTCATGTTTTTGTACCTAGTGCTAGCTCTGCCTGGAATGCCACGCTTTGTCAGACTTGTTCAAATGTTATTGAATCAGAAAGGCATATCTGCTACTTGCTTTGTCCCCCTAAATTTCAGATATATGATAGCACTTAGCATATATTAAAGTAAGTAATGCGGCCCAGCCTATGTGGCTCAGCGCTTGAGCAGCCACCTTTGAACCAGGATGTCACGGTTCAATTCCCAGTCAGGGCATATGCAGGCTCAATCTCCAGTAGGGGCTGTGCAGGATCAATGATTCTCTTTCATCATTAGTGTTTCTATATTTCCCTCACCTTCACCCTTCCTCTCTGAAATCAATAAAAATATATTTTTAAAAAATAAAGTAAGAAGTGCATGTTGCTCTCCACTAGATCATGAGTTTCTAAAGACAAGCTCTAAATCTGTGTGTCTTAATAACTCTGGAGACACAGCTGACTCTCATAGCCAGTTAGCCTGGAGGTCAAATCATCCCTGGTATTGCCGACAATCAAGGCTTAACTACAACAAGACTGCGCACAAAGATCACTAGGGGGTGCACCAAGAAAAGATAAAAAAATGCGGAGACAAAGAAACAGGATGCAAATGACAGAAATGGAAGATATAGAGCTCAAAACCACACTTTTAAGGTCTCTCAAGAACTGTCTAGAAGCTGCCGATAAACTTAGTAAGGCTCTCGAAAAGACTGGTGAGACCGCCGATAAATGTAGTGAGATCCTCAAGAAATCTAATGAGACCCTCGATGTTGTGATAAAGAACCAACTAGGAATTAAGCATACACTGACTGAAATAAAGAATATTATACAGACACCCAACAGCAGACCAGAGGAGCGCAAGAATCAAGTCAAAGATTCGAAACGCGAAGAAGCAAAAAACACCCAACTGGAAAAGCAAAATGAAAAAAGAATCCGAAAATACGAAGATAGTGTAAGGAGCCTCTGGGACAGCTTCAAACGTACCAACATCAGAATTATAGGGGTGCCAGAAGATGAGAGCAAGATATTGAAAATCTATTTGAAGAAATAATGACAGAAAACTTCCCCCACCTGGTGAAAGAAATAGACTTACAAGTCCAGGAAGCACAGAGAACCCCAAACAAAAGGAATCCAAAGAGGACCACACCAAGACACATCATAATTAAAATGCCAAGAGCAAAAGGCAAAGAGAGAATCCTAAAAGCAGCAAGAGAAAGAAACCCAGTTACCTACAAGGGAATACCCATACGACTGTCAGCTGATTTCTCAACAGAAACTTTGCAGGCCAGGAGGGAGTGGCAAGAAATAGTCAAAGTGATGAATACCAAGAACCTACAACCAAGATTACTTTACCCAGCAAAGCTATCATTCAGAACTGAAGGTCAGATAAAGAGCTTCACAGATAAGGAAAAGCTAAAGGAGTTCATCACCACCAAACCAGTATTATATGAAATGCTGAAAGGTATCCTTTAAGAAGAGGAAGAAGAAGAAAAAGGTAAAGATACAAATTATGAACAACAAATATGCATCTATCAACAAGTGAATCTAAGAATCAAGTGAATAAATAATCTGGTGATCATAATAGAATCAGGGACATAGAAAGGAAATGGACTGACTATTCTTGGGGGGGAAAGGGGTGTGGGAGATGCGGGAAGAGACTGGACAAAAATCGTGCGCCTATGGATGAGGACAGTGGGTGGGGAGTGAGGGCGGAGAGTGGGGCGGGAACTGGGAGGAGGGGAGTTATGGGGGGAAAAAAGAGGAACAAATGTAATAATCTGAACAATAAAGATTTAATTAAAAAAAAAAAATAACTCTGGAGCCCTAGCTGGTTTGGCTCAGTGGCTAGAGCGTTTGCCTTAGGACTGAAGGGTCCTGGGTTCAATTCCAGTTGGGGACACATGTCTGGGTTGCGGCTCAATCCCCAGTGGGGGGCGAGCAGGAGGCAGCCAATCAATGATTCTCATCAATGATGTTTCTCTCTCTCTCCCTCTCCCTTCCTCTCTGAAATCAATAAAAAATATATTAAATAAAAATAAACACTGAGCCCTAACCGGTTTGGCTCAGTGGATAGAGCATCAGCCTTCGGACTGAAGGGTCCCAGATTCGATTCCGGTCAAGGGCATGTACCTTGGCTGTGGGCACATCCCCAATAGGGAGTGTGCAGGAGGCAGCTGATTGATGTTTCTCTCATTGATGTTTCTAACTCTCTATCCCTCTCCCTTCCTCTCTGTAAAAAATCAATAAAATATATTAAAAAATAAAATAAAAAATAAACACTGAGTGTTTTAAAAAATAATAACTCTGGAGCCTTTGGCCTTTTAGTATTCATAGCACTCTACTGAAAACCAAAAATCTTAGTGGCATACTTGAAGTGATTCAAAGCCTCAAAACGGAGGCAGTCACTTCCTCAGTGTGAGGATTTCTCACAGTGCCTATAAAATCATTCATTGTTGGCGCTCTCCCTCCCAGGAGCACGCCCTTGTCTTTCCCTGCCCCTCCCCCCACTCATATTACCATTAGCTTCCTCACTCCCAATCTCCAAGTGCCATTCCTTTACCTCTATAACTTGTTCCCTAACCCATTTCTTCTAGGAACCCAATAAATGTTCTCTTACAGTAAAAAAAATATCATCCATCATTATCACACTACTAGAGGCCCGAGGCATGAAAATTTGTGCAAGAGTAGGCCGCCCTTCCCCCTTGCTGCCGGCACCGGCTTCCCTCTGGGACCCAGGCTGCTTCCCTCCGGCCCCGGCTTCGTCAGGAAGGACGTCCGGAAGATGTCCGGTCTGATGAGCATATTACCCTTTTATTGTTATAGAAGATTCATTTGGTAGCCCTTCAGCACTATGGCTGAATGATTTTTGCTCTTCTGAATTCTCTTATATAGCCTACTTTCTGGAATATTTACATCTTATTAAAAAGAAATATAAGGTCAGAAGACCATCAAATTCTTGGCATTTTTATTTGAAACTGAAGCTCTTTACCTACAGAACTCCAAGTAGTAGAAAATTATTTGAAATTTGCTCAAATTTGCCAAAGTGACCATTTTCCCAGGGCAGTATTTGGTGTAGCCAGCCATTTGGTAGCTATATGGCTCTGATTGTTGGCTCCCCCTGAGCAGTGCATAGTAGACTTGATGGATTGTGTGAGATGACCTAATTTACAGAATCACTTATGGGTGGTGGTTTGTTTTATGTGTTGTTGTTTTTTAATATATATCATTGATTTCTGAGAGGAAGGGCGAAGGAGAGAGAGATAGAAACATCAATGATAAGAGAGAATCATCAACCCTGCACTTCCCCTACTGGGGATTGAGCCTGCAACCCAGGGATGTGCCCTCACCAGGAATGGAACCTTGATCTCCTGCTTCATAGGTGGACACTCAACCACTGAGCCACACCGGCCAGGCTGGGTGGTGGTTTTTTTAAATTCTAAGATAAGAAAAAGGACATTTGTCCCGGTCTGGTTGCTCAGTGGTTAGAGCATAGGTTTAATCAGGGTGCATGTGGGAGGCAACCAATTAATGTGTGTCTCTCATATCAATGTTTCTTTCTCTCTCCCTCCCACTCTGTAAAAAGTGATAGAAAACATATTTTCCAGTGAGGATTAACAACAAAAGAAAAAGGACATTTTGACTTTTTATTAAGTTTTCTGTTTTGTTCCAGGAGGGTTCCATGTTTCATCAAAGCTAAGATGCCATCAATTATGAGATGTATCTCAATTTCTTAACTGTTACAATTTACAATGTCTTTAAAAGCTCTACAAGTAATAGCAGTGGCTCTTGGAAAAACTATTAATTCACTTTCAGTTTTCTGTCTAGTGTCCTTTACATATTTAGTTTCTTGAGAAGGGGAAAAACATTACTGAATTTCCACTAACTTCTTATTTTTCCCTACCAGTTGCTTTTCGACTATATGATTTGGATAAAGATGACAAAATCTCCCGAGATGAGCTGTTACAGGTATGTGGAGAGCTCCCATGCACATGGAGAGTTTGTATTTGGGCCCTGCCTGCTTATTCATGTGGGCAGGAATTATACTTTCCTTCAGGAAGCATTTACTTAACACCTGCTGTGTGCAGTTCTATCCTACATATAAGGAAGAGCACATAATTTGGGGAAACTTGAAATGGCTCATTGATTTCTCAAAGACAAATGTCTCTATTTAAAAGGTAACTCAGTTTGCCCTGGCCACTGTTGCTCAGTGTTTGGAGCGTAAGCCCCACACCTAAGATTCTCGGGTTCCATTCCCTGTCAAAGGCCTGCACCTGGGTGGCAGGTTCGATCCCTGGCCCCAATCAATGTGTCTCTCTCATATTGATGTTCTCTATTTCTCTCTCTCTCTCCCTCCCTGTCCTTTCCCCCTCCTTCCCTTTCTCCCTCCCTCCTTTCTCTAAAAATCAATGAAAAAAAATATTCTTGGATGAGGATTAATCAACTTCCCCCCACCCCCCACCCCCCAAAAAAGGGTAAACTAAATGTCTTTTAGGTGCTGACTGGCAGAACTAAAATATGTGAGATGAATTAGATTAAAATGTTCTGTTAGTGTCCAGTCAGTTTATTGGCAGCTGGGTAATTCTGATGACACTTGGATAATTACCGCTATTTCATCTGTCCTTGACATAAGAGTCAAGGACCTGCTGCTAGGTTGGTTACACCAAGCTGATTGCTCATTGTCCTTTGTTGCTCCCCTGTCCTCTACCAGCAGTGACTGGCATTTCATCCTATTAGTCATTGCCCTTCTATTCTTCCTCTCCCCCTTCCTCGAAATATGAGTTTAGAAGGAGAGAAAATTCTTCCCTTTTGTATTTTTATTTATAAGCCTGGAGGGCGCTAGGAGGATAACACATTCAGGACTTTCTGTGGGGAAATATCTCTGTTTGAAGAGACACCTAAAAAGGAAAGTGGTTTTCATTCAAACCAAAGTAAATCTGAATTTATTCAGTGTTTTGAGAACTCTCTAAATTAAGATTACTCAGGCTAGATTAAACCAACTCAAGATATTCCTACATTTCTATGTCTGAACAAAAACTGAAACGGTCTACCTTTCAGGAGGGTTGATTTCTTTTCTATTATTAGGATTAAAAAAGCCTGAGGCAGGGAGTGGGGAGGAGATCATGTGGCCAGGGTGCCAGTCAGTGCCCTTAGAATATTCGTTAGGCCTGAAATGCCTTTAAGATATATATGCTCATGGACTGTTGAGGTGAACTAGTTTTATCCTACCAAGAAGAGGATATAAACATTTTACCAAAATGAGGAGAAAAAATTTACCTTTCTAGACACTGCTATTTCTAAAATATTTGGTGGCATGCAGTTCGTAACTACTCAGTGGATCTTAAAAAGTCTGTGGTCAGTTTATCCTAAGGAAAGGAAGAGTGGTCATGGTTTCCTGATATGATGTTTTTAAAATATATCTTTTATTGATTTCAGAGAGGGAGGGAGAGATAGAAACTTCAATGATGAGAGAGAATCATTGATTAGCTGCCTTCTGCATGACCCCCACTAGGGAGGGAGCCTGCAACACAGGCATTTGTCCTGACCCGGAATCGAACTGTGACCTCCTATTTCATAGGTCAACATTCAACCACTGAGCCATGCCAGCTGGGCCTGGTATGATCTTTTTAAAAGTCCTGGTTTAACTTTTGGGAGATGGAAAAATTCATTATTTTTATTGTGATGATGGTTTTATAGGTATGTACATATGTCAAAAAGCTTATCATAGTGTATAGTTTATTATATATCAGTTACACTTCAATAAAGGTAGTTGCTGTAATCATTTTATGAGGTTGGCATACCTTTGATGTGGAATCTTTGTAAACTGTATAAGAAAAGAAAATTAGTCATTCTCTTTCATTCACATAGATATAAAAGTCCTAAACAAAATATTAACACACTGAATACATAAGTATAATATATATATATATATTATAACCAATGTGGGTTTATACCAGGTGTTCAAAGTTCTTTTAAAATGAGGAAATTAGTCAATGTATTTTGCCATGTTAACAGATTAAAAAATAAAAACAATGATCTTTTCCATAGAAAAAAAATGTTATAAAATTCATCATTCATTCATAATTTTTAAAAGAAGTCTTAGAAAAACAGAGATAAAGAGAGAGCTTTCCTTAACTGGTAAAGGGTATATACAAAAAAAACCTCACCAGACATTAAAAATAGTAATAATGAAAGTCCCATTTGCTAATAAACTTCTGACTGGACCTGTAAGTGATACTGTGGAGAGTGGAAAGCACACTGGCTCGGAATGGAGACCTGGTGGACAGCTCAGGGCCTGTATCAAGCCACTTTGAGACCCTCATGTCCTTATTAAGGGACTGGGTGAATGAATTTTTTTTTTAATATATTTTATTGATTTTTTTACAGAGAGAAAGAGAGGAATAGAGAGTTAGAAACACTGATGAGAAAGAAACATCAATTCAGCTGCCTCCTGCACATTCCCTACTGAGGATGTGCCCGCAACCAAGGTATATGCCCTTGACCGAAATCAAACCTGGGACCCTTCAGTCCCCAGGCCGACGCTCTATCCACTGAGCCAAACCAGTTAGGGCTTGGGTGAATGAGTTTTAAGACACCACCACTCTTATCCCCACCCTTATGCACCCACAGCACACATGCACAATTCAGTTTTATAATTCTAAAAATAAAACACATTCGAGAATAATTGGGCTGAGATCTGATCTGTTAGAGAGGTTTGAGGATAGATTGATTTGTGTATTCGGCCATACACAATCAGGAAAGATGGCAAATGGCTTGGCTACTTTTTATTTTTGCTAGCATTGCTTCTTTTTATGATTCCTTCAATTTGTGTATATTTGTTGCCAAAATGTACAACTTCCAATTTTCTACAATTGATTTGCTGGGGGAGGAAGGGGATGACTAGTGTTGATGCAAATCATTATTTTAACTCTTCAGAGAAACTGTAATTTACTTTTTTTTTTTTAAATATATTTTATTGATTTTTTACAGAGAGGAAGGGAGAGGGATAGAGAGGTAGAAACATCAATGATAGAGAAACATTGATCAGCTGCCTCTCCCCGCACACCCCCTACTGGAGATGTGCCTGCAACCAAGGTACATGCCTTTGACCGGAATCGAACCTGGGACCCTTCAGTCCCCAGGCTGATGCTCTATCCAGTGAGCCAAACCAGCTAGAGCTGTAATTTACTTTTTAAAATCATTTCATGAGATAGGAGAAGGTTGTAAAGGAGTGGGGGAAAGGAAGACCTGTGAACAGCTGGATTAGAAGGCATTTCTTTCCTGTGGAAAAGCTGTGCTCTTTTGAAGACAGAGGTGGCTGACTACAGTGATGTGAGGCATCACAAAGCATCTTTTCCCCCATTTCATACTAAGGTTCATATGATTAAAGTTGTTTATTTTGCTTAAGGTAGCAATTTTCAAAGGATATTCACATCTAAAAATGTTAGCAGAATTGGAAGGGGGTGGATTTTTTTTTGCTTGAGACATTTTGTGAAACAGTGTTAAATTCACGTTACTGCACTTCTCATAGCACTTAGAATGTTATTTTTCTAAAAGGGGGGATTTAGGCTAAGCCAGCATGGCTCAGTGGTTGAGTGTCGACCTATGAACCAGGAGATCATGGTTCAATATGCCTGGGTTGCGGCACAATTCCCTTTCCCAGTGTGGGGCATGCAGGAGGCAGCAATCAATGATTCTCTCCCATCATTGATCTTTCTCTTTCTCTCTCTCTCTCTCTCTCTCTCTCTCTCTCTCTCTCTCTCTCTCTCTCTCTCTCTCTCTCTCCTCTCTCCTCTCTCTCTCTCCTGTCTCTCTCTGCCCCCTTCCTCTCTGAAATCAATTTTTAAAAAAATAGTTTTTAGCCCTAACTGGTTTGGCTCAGTGGTAGAGCATCGGCCTGCAGACTGAAGGGTCCCAGGTTTGATTCCGGTCAAGGGCATGTACCTTGGTTGCGGGCACATCCCCAGTAGGAGGTGTGCAGGAGGCAGCTGATCAATGTTTCTCTCCCATCGATGTTTCTAACTCTCTATCCCTCTCCCTTCTTCTCTGTTAAAAATCAATAAAATAGATTTTAAAAAAAGAAAAAGGAGAAGAGGGTTGGGGTGGTTTTATCCTTAATCTTGGTAAAGTGTCCCCCTGACCCCAAGTCTCCTGTAAGCCTGGCTCTTGGTCCTGCAGGTGCTACGCATGATGGTCGGAGTGAATATCTCAGATGAACAGCTAGGCAGCATCGCAGACAGGACCATCCAGGAGGCTGATCAAGATGGGGACAGTGCTATATCTTTCACAGAATTTGTTAAGGTCAGTCAGTCATCTTATGGTTTGAAAACTTAAATCCTGCACAGGAGGGAGGGAGAAAAACATTGAGATAAGAGCATGGGACAGTATCTCCTGTTGTGACCTTCATAACTGTAACTGTTTCTCTCTCCCTCCCCCGCCCCCCCAGGTTTTGGAGAAAGTGGACGTAGAACAGAAAATGAGCATCCGATTTCTTCACTAAAGGACTGAGACTACTAAACTGTTCCTTGCTTTCTAGTATTTAAGAACTGGAACTTGGGAGTCCTCCTGTCCACCAGCCCCACCTCCACCCCATCATTCGTCTTCTCCCAAAGTACTACTGCTGTTGCATGACAACCCCCAATGTGTCTGCCAACATAAACCTGCCTTTGGTATATAAACAGGGCATTACAGAATGGTACACCTGGTCTATATTTGTTCCATATCATTTGCCGATTATCTCCATTTCTCAATATTCTCCCCACTCCCCTTCGGCTGCTGAATGCCACATGTGCATCTCGTCTGACAGAGAAGGAATCATGTCAAGAACCAGCCAGCATAGCTCTTTCATTGGGTAGACTATAGCCACGCTGTCTTCCCTCCCTCAAGGCTTTGGCATGCTCCTCGATCTTTTTTTATATGTCATTTGCTTTCTACTTCTTTTTTACCCAACACATCATTAATCTTTCAGTCTCCCCACTTTTTATTAAGTTTCAATTTCTTCTACTTAGCATCCCAAGCTATGCCTGTTCAGTGTATTTCTGACTTGGCAGGATAGTTCAGTGGTCTGGCTGTTTTGAACTACCTTTACTCTTAAATAGGTCTCTGGGATGTTGCCTCTCTAGGAGCTTTTCAATACTGAGCACTTCTCCCAGAAGAATGTGATCGCCTCTTGGTCCCCTGTACTCTGCTTTGTCATCAAAGGGCTGTGAATTAGAGATGTTCTTCTTGAAAGGTGGTGCTGTGGTGAGAGTTGTAGAGCAAAGTCTTTCAGGTGACTTGCCCAGGTCACTCTACCTCTGGCCTCTGATTCTCAACATGGATATCTATGTAGCTACTCTTGTGAGTACAGTGTTGACTTTCAGAAAACAGCCGTATGCTGGCAGGTTTGCTTAGTTTTGGGACACTGTCACCACCAGAATGGCTGCTCTGACAATATGCTTGGGGACTTTCCCATGGCTTTTTGAGCAAGGAGGCTGGCACCCTAAAAGCCTCATGTAGCCCCACTTCTGCAGCATGGTTTATGCGTCAATGTTATGTGCTCTGAAATGTTTTCACTTCACACTGCCAAATAGAAAGGTTAGTGTTACAGAAGTGCCTACTTATTCCCATCCAAGATATTTAAAATTTGTCCTCAGTGTCTTGAAGTTTTGCACAAAATTCTCTATGAATTTTACACTTGGCAAATGTTAATGCTGGAAGCCATAGTCAGCTCCTAATATAGGTCCAAAGCTTTGAGTGTATTGTATCATTTATTTACCAGCTCCTCTCTTAGACCATTGCTAATCCTTTAGAAACAAGGGGTCTGGCACTGGTGGCAAACCTGAGGTGGTATTACAGCCCTTTGCACAAGCCAGAACAACTTTTCTGCCTAAGTCAACTTAGTATAGACCTCTTTGAATCAGCCTGTTATCATCCTAACATCTCTCTTAACAGTCTGCTCATCCTTATAACTGCCCTTGGCTGATTTTGTCTGACTCATTGCATGCTTGCTTGTTTCCTTGCTTTGGAAGGCTATCCAAGATGGATACATAATACTTTAGGAAGGAAATGGCTTTAAAAATAAATGCAAAGACATTGGGCAGAGTGGGGAACAGGAGTGTCCAGGCTACACAACTCAAGGATAAATGACTGAGAAATTCTGGGTGAAGTGTCAGTCTGACTTTGTGATCAAGTGATGTAGTTATGGGAATCATATAAAAGGGAAGGACAGACACTGATCTGTTACAGAGGTACTTCAAAGGCTCCTTGACTTGCATATTTAAAGTTCTAAGATTATGGCTTTTTCCTCCTTTTGGCTGTATAGCAAACTGTTTTCATCCACAGCTGTGCCTTACTGTTCCATTGAAACTGTATTCTCCGATCCATCAATAATAAATTCTTGTAGTTAAAACAATATAACTTGGTTGATTTTGCTCATGTGTTTTACAAGAATTGTATGTAAGTAAACCACCTTCTTCAAGTTTGAAATCACAGTGTTTCCCTTAGGTTTGTCTGTGCTATTAAATGCAGGTCTATTCAGTGTCTGCCTGGTGGGGGCATTCATCTAGGGACCAGCACTGTGTGCCTCTGAGCACAGCGTTGTCAGCCTTTTACCACTTCAAGGAAGATTCACTTTCTGTTCTTGACTCCTGGCTCCTTAAATGTAGAAAAGACCTAATAATGGGGTATCTATCTATTGCTTGTTATTAAGATGTCTACCCCCCCTAATTCATGTGCAACCTCAGTGACATATTGCACCCAGCTATTATTAAATGGCTTTTCACATCTCCAAACTTTAGTGACTTAGTCTGTGCAGGGTATGAGCATCTCTTCTTATTTTAAGGTTTAGTGGCATGCCACAAGACTCAACGCAGTAATAGCTGGAATCATTGGTCATATAAATTCTAACATGATAATCCTCCTTTTGCTATCCCTCTGCCTCAAAATCCATTCAAAATTACATGCATGATGTTTCATCTTTGCTTCACTTTGAGTCTAATTTTAGGGTTTAGGAAAACAAAAAATGAATGGGGTGACCATATAGGCAATTTTGGAAGAACCTTAATGTTACTGACCATGTCTGTTGGTATAACAATCTGTGACTAAAATAAAACAATACTGCAAAAAAAAAATTATAAAATCATTCGAACATTAAGTACAGTTTGAGAAGAATCTCTTTAACCAACTTTATTTCCCTTGCTCCCTTCTGTTCTACCTATTTATGTATTTGAACATAAATGTAACATACCACAAGATTATACTGGCTTTAAAAATTGGCATTGTATAAAGATGAAGAGGCCCAGCCGGCGTGGCTCAGTGGTTGAGCGTCGACCTATGAAAAGGAGGTCACGGTTCAATTCCTGGTCAGGGCATATGCTCAGGTTGTGGGCTAGATCCCCAGTGTGGGGTGTGCGGGAGGCAGCCAATCAATGATTCTCTCTCATCATTGATGTTTTTTCACTCTCCCTTCCTCTCTGAAATCAATAAAAATATATAAAAAATAAAATATTGTTTAACGATGAAGGGATTAAGTAGGGGGACACAAACTCATAGACAACAGTATGGTTATTACCAAAGGGAAAGGCGGTGGGGCAGGTAAAAAAGGGCAAAGGGATAAAAGGTGATGGAAGGAAACCTGACTTGGGGTGGTGAACACACAATTTACAGATGGTATATTATGGAATTGTACCCCTGAAACCTATATAATTTTATTAACCAGTAAACTTAATTTTTTAAAAAAACCAAAAAATTGAAAACATTATATTTCCCCATGTTATCTGTTCTTTCTAGTTTATATTAATGGTTGCATTATATTTTACCAACTAATGTAATATTTATTTAACCATTAATTTTCAAAATAATTTTAAAAATAATTTTAATTGTATAAATGATACAATGATGCCTTTCTGCATATAACTTTTTCTTTTTTTAAATATTTTTATTGGTTTCAGAGAGAAAGGGAGAGGGAGAAAGACAGAAACATCAATGATGAGAAAGAATCATTGATTGGCTGCCCTCTGGCACAACCCCACTGGGGATCGAGCCTGCAACCCAGGCATGTGCCCTTGACCGAAATCGAACCTGGGGCCCTTCAGTCTGCAGGCCAACAGTCTATCCACTGAGCCAAACCAGCTAGGGCTCTTTTTCTTTTTAAATATGTTTTTTATTGATTTCAGAGAAGAAGACAAAGAGAAACATCAATGATGAGAATCATGAGTCAGCTGGCTCCTGCATGCCCCCTACTGGGGATCAAACCTGTCACTGGGACATGTGCCCTGACCAGGAATTGTACCATGACTTTCTGGTTCATGGGTCAATGCTCAACCACTGAGCCACATCTTACAGCTTTAATAGGTTCCAAAATAAATGAATGCCACAAGCTATCAAATTACTCTGTATTACCTTTAGAATGTCCTTTTTAGAATATCCTGTATAGTCACCTGTCTTCAAATTGACTTTACAATCATATCAAGTTTTATTTTTTTAATGTATTTTATTGATTTTTTTTACAGAGAGGAAGGGAGGGATAGAGAGTTAGAAACATCGATGAGAGAGAAACATCGATCAGCTGCCTCCTGCATACCTGCTACTGGGGATGTGTCTGCAACCAAGGTACATGCCCTTGACCGGAATCGAACCTGGGACCTTTCAATCCCCAGGCCGATGCTCTATCCACTGAGCCTAACTGGTTAGGGCAGTGATGGTGAACCTTTTGAGCTTGGCGTGTCAGCATTTTGAAAAACCCTAACTTAACTCTGGTGCCGTGTCACATATAGAAATTTTTTGATATTGCAACCATAGTAAAACAAAGATGTATATTTTTGATATTTATTTTATATATTTAAATGCCATTTAACAAAGAAAAGTCAACCAAAAAATGAGTTCGCGTGTCACCTCTGACACGCGTGTCATGGGTTTGCCATCACTGGGTTAGGGCAATATCAAGTTTTATATTTAAAACACTATTAGAATAGTTTGTGCTGATTGGGATTTAGAGAAAGTATTTACTGCAGAGATGCCTCAGAGAGAACTATCTTTACTAACTGGATTTCTTATGCTAAAAACTAGATATGTATCCTGTTCCTCAAACACTGAGAGCAGAATTGCTTGGAAAGAAATCATTACTAATGGACTGATACCCTCTAAATTCAGAGTACTTTAGCTGAGCTTTGAATCAACCAGCGATTCATACTACAGATGGCTGGTATGTGCCCCTATATGTGTTTAACATCTAGTAGAAACAATAATTTAGAGATTTTACTCTTCCCTCTACATCAAGCAGTGATGGGAGATTTACTTGTTAAGTTTGTGAGGTACTGCAGACTGTTTCTACACAGCTCTGGAGGGAACATAGAATAATGAAGAATTTCATGTCTTTTGAGATGAAGTAAGTAGCCTGACTTCTTTACATAAGGTAAGAGCTAATCAAAGACTTGGTCTTGAGATGCCAAGACAGTGTTCTAAGCACTAGATTCTGATCGTGCATCAAAACTAGCAAGACGATTTATTTGGAGACATGATCTTGACACTTTCCACCTCCCTTTGCAGTCTGTTCAAGAACCTAACCAGGTATAGTCCTGGCCAGGTACTCAGTTGGTTAGAGCATTGTCCTAATACGCCAAGGTTGTGGGTTCGATCCTTCTCAGGACACATATTAGGAGTTAATCAATAAATGCATAAATAAGTGGAATAACAAACTGAAACAGGTAGGTGAATTATTAAAGAATGTCTCTGGGCCACTACAACAGAAGGCAAACACTGTTAAGGAGTTTCAGTGTTTTATTCATAAGAAAATTTTTCTTGCCCCTAAACACATACACAATTTCTTTAGAAATAATTCTAATTAATTTGGTCAACCAGCCCATAACAAATTGAAAATATATAAATAGGTATGTTGACAAGAAGGGCAGCTGAGCCCTGGCCAGGTAGCTCAGTTTGGTTAGAGTGTCCTGATCCACCAACGTTGCAGGTTAGATCCTCAGGGCACATACAAGAATCAACCAGCAATGGATAAATAACAATATTTCATCAATAAGTTTTATTTAAAAAAAGGATAGCTCACAAAGGAGAAGACAAGACGAAAACCAAGTAACTCAGCATTCCACTAGAGACCAAATAATTAAGTGAAACATTCCTGATAATTTTAAGATTATGTTATTTTAATGTAATTCATAAAATTCATATGAATTGCATGTAATTCAAGTTGTACCTGGATCTATGTAACTTAATACTACATGTGCTGATTTGAGTCCAGTGATTTCTTGCCTGGTTTTCTGTAGATGTCACATCTTTTTCCTTATCACTTTGGAAAAAGAAATTGTTGATGACATCAAATGTAACATGGATTAGAAGCTTATATTTGCAAATACCCTTTTGAACAATGGGAACAAAAAGCGTTATATTATCCATAATGCAAAATTTCTTGAGGGTAGGAATTCGTCTTCTTTGCCAGTAGAATAACAAATTTCTCGCTGCTATTAAAATATCTCCTGCACAAAAGAAAAAGAAAAATACTTCTACAGGATGTCAGTTGGGAGAAGGCTGCCATGGAGACATTCATATTTTATGAAACATTTTCTCAGGACTCAACTTCTGAGTAAAAACACTCAATTTTAGCAGAACGCATGTGCTAAATTGAAATGTATTTTTTGCTGCCTGTTGCCTCTTCTGGCATTGTAGAGCCAGAATAAAAAGTCTGAAATAGTAACATTCTGTGTTTCTAACAGATGGCCGCATTCTATAAACTCCTCACCTTGTGCCCATGAGATCAGGGGCAATTTTGGTAGCTTCATAGTCATGGAGACATAGATTTGGGAGATGGTTAGAGAAAGAGGCATATACTAGCAAAGTTTGCAGAAGGGGAAAAGGGCAGATTTCAGAAATGATCCACTCACCTATTTGACGTTATTCCCCAGCAGAATACTAGAATGGGTCATTACATGGTTTGTGAAGCCATGGAAAAGATTGTGATGATCACCAGGATACTGATGTGTTTGGCAAATAATTATGCTGGATTTCTCTCCCTTCACTTATTTCAAGGCTTGATTAAATTTATATGTCAGATCAATGAGATAGACACAGTGTTCTGCAAAGCACATGCCTATGTTTCATATATTTATATAGTTAAGGTGGAAAAAATTGGGTTGATTATAGCTGACATATTTGAAGATGGCAGTTGAATAACCATATAACAAGAATCTAAAAATCAATGTCAATAGTCTTGAAAAAGAGGAACAAAATTGGAGGATTCACATGTCCCAATTTGAAAATAGACACTGCAATACTGGCACAAAGACAGAGTATAAAGCAATGGACTAGAATTGTGAGTCCAGAAATTAATCCTCACATTTATAATGAACTGATCTTTGACAAGGCTGCCAAAGCAATCCAATGGGGGAAACAGTAGTCTTTTGGTATAACTGGGGCCATTGGATATCCTCATGCAAAGGATTGAAGTTGAACCCCTCCCTCACACCAGCCCTAGCTGGACTGGCTCAGTGGATAGAGCATCAGCCTGAAGACTGAAGGGTCCTGGATTCAATTCGGTCAAGGGCACATGGCTGGGTTGCAGGCTCAATCCCCAGGGTGGAGCGTGCAGGAGGCAGCCGATCAATGATTCTCTCTCATCAATGATGTTTCTATCTCCTCTCTCTTCCTCTCTGAAATAAATAAAAAATTTAAAAAAAGATATCACAAGTTTAAAGACCATCACCTTTTAAGAAGGACATCGATAAAATTATTTGCTACTAAGATGCAAAATGGTGAGAGGTTCAGGGTAACATTTTCATGAGCAATTGTAGGAATTGAGGCTTTAACCTAGAGAAAAGAAAGTAGCTCTCTTGAAATATTTAGTATATATCGTCAGATTGCTAAAGATCTGTTCTTGAAAGTCTCACTGTTACCACTATTCTTCTAGAGGAAATAATTAGTTTAATGTGGAACTTAAGAGCACATACTTTGGAAACAGATCGGGTGGGTTCAGATCCTGGTTCTGCTACTTAACCAAGCACATGAACTGGGCAATTCACATAACTCTTCTGTGTCCTTTTCCTTAATTGTAAAATAAGGGTCATGATGATGATGATAACAGTAAGTCATAGGTTGGTGTGAGGACTAAATGAGTGTCTGACATGCTAAACATACAAGAATTTTTTTATTTTGCCTTTCTCCGTTTCTCAAACTTAACACCATAGAATTATATTGCCCTCTTTTTATATTTTTAATTAATTTATTATTATTGATGTTAGAGAGAAAGAGAGCAACATCGATTTGTTGTTCCACTTGTTTATGCATTCATTGGTTGCTTCTTTTTTTTTTTTTTTTTTTGAATTTTTGTGAGTTTATTTGAGCCAAACTGTAGACATATGCCAGGAAACAGAACCTCAACGAATTGAGATAATGCTCCCCATTGGTTGCTTCTTGTATGTGCCCTGACCTGGGATTGAACCCCCAACCAGGGCACATTATGCTATAAGATTAATGATGAGTGGAAGTGGTAGGTTGACTGATTCCAAATTATTTTAATTAGGAAGAATATTCTAATAATTATAATTATTCAAATGAAGAACAGGATATCCCCAAAGCTAATGCATTCTCTAGCTATTGGTTGCTAGGCAAAATCTTGAATGACCGTTTTTCACTTGGTTAGTCACATGCCACATCTTACCAGTGAGGAAGCCTAGGAAATATGATCGCTTTTCATAAGGAAGAAGGTAGAAGAACACTGGGGGTACCCAGCAGTCGCTGCACAGGCTTAAGCAAAGTCTTTGACCATTGTTTTTTGTCAGAAATCTTTCAGATTTTCTAAATTACAACAGAGGTTTACCTAGGTGATCTAGGATTCCTGCTTGTTGATTCATAATATAATTACTAGTTTCTCCAAGCAAATATAGTAGTAGCATTTTACAAAAATTTTTGTGTTTGTCGTTGGTTTGGGAATACCATTGGATCTGCAGAATTTTTATTATTATTTTTAAGCCTCATCTTGAGGATATTTTTCCATTGACTTTTAGAGAGAGTGGAAGAAAGAGGGAAAGACAGAAATATTTATGTGAGAGAAACACATGCTTGGTGATTGGTTGCCTCCTGCAGGAGCCCCAACCAGAGCCCAGGCTGGGGAGGAGCCGGCAACAAAAGTATGTGCCCTTGAATGGAATCGAACCCAGGACCCTTGGGTCCTCAGGCTAAAACTCCATCCACTGAACCAAACTGGCTAGGGCTCTGGAGAGAATTTTTAAACATGGAGAGAGATGGTTGTTAAGAAAGAGGAAATAAATGACAACAATCTCTATTATCTCCATTGACACTATTTTATGGTTTTGTTTTTGGTTCTCCTCTAGTTGCCTGGGTCCCAAGAAGAATAATATCTGTGTTGGGGGGCAGGGGGTGATAAGTCTTCAAAATATTCCATTAATGTTGCATTGACCAGCGATATGTTATCATAGATGCAAAAAGACAATAGGCAGGCTCAAAATAAAGATGGACTTTTGTCAGAGAAGAGACCAGCCTAGGACATTACTACCCACCATAGACCGCTTTTTAGTTTAAAAAGTTTTAATTTCAGACTATCCTTTGAGGTTACTTTAGGTCTCTGACTTTGCCAGGCCGCCACACAGGCCTTCCCTGAGCTCCTCAGGTCAGCATGTGTCCCCTTCTCGTCCACAGAAGGAAATTATTAGTGCTACTGTTTAGCCTAATGGTGGTTTAAAATAGTCATGCGGCCTACTCAAACTACTTTACCAGCAAGCGACACTGCTTCTATGCGGAAATGTTACATTCCTAACGAATGAATTACAAAAGCATTTTTCCTTATTACCTCAACCCTGGGAACCAATCCAACAAAAAGGGATGGAACGAGTGCACTAGGACTCTTGATTGACGTGCGTTACAACCAACCTCCAACGGAAGGAGAGCGCGCCTGCGCAAGTCGTTCTCCAATCAGTGCCGAGGGGCCGAGGCTGGCGGAAACGGACCCCGCAGGGTTGGCGGACTTCTGAAGGAGCAAAGATGGCGGCCTGAGGCGTGCCGCGGCGCGCCGGCCTTGGCGCCGGGGGGCCGGCTCCTGGCCGGTCCAGTGCTTCTGCTGGCTCCTGCGAGGTAAGCCGAGGAGGCCAGCGATCGGGGACAAGCAGGAAGTGGCGCGGCCCAACTCCGCGCGGGTACAGGAGCGCCCGGAGCCTGCCCGCAGCCGGCACGGGCGTCGGCCGGGCGTGGGTTTCCTCCCGAGCTGCCCAGGGCGACCGCACTCGCCTTCCAGGTGTGTCGCATCACCACTCGGCCCTCGACCCGCCGCCGTCCCCCTCAGCACCATGCCTTTGGCTGCCCGCATGGTTACGCCCACGCAGATGTATATCTGGCAGCCGCTGCGTTGGCCGGCGATTTGTCTTTCGAAGAATATGCTTTTTTAATTTATTTAGAGTCCCCCCTCACGGCTTCGTAGTCACTGCTGTGCTTGAGGCACCGGCGTGCACCCGGGCCTGTGGCGGCTCTGAGTGTTTTGTGTGTGTGGTCCGTTGACCTTGAGTTTGGGTCGAACGAATCGCCCCCGGATTGTAATCGGAGTCCGTGTGGCGCACGTCCCCGGCCGCCGGCACTGCGTCCGTCCGTCCCCCTCCCACGTCCGACTGGGAAGGACGGGCAGCAGCTTTGTCCTTGGGTGACCTGACGGCTCCCTGATGGCGCATTCATCGCGGCCGACTCTGCGTCTCGGTGGAATTCTCCTTGTTGTTTTCCAGAACTAGAGTCAGCGTACAGTTTTTACTTTTGTGTGTGTGTGTGTGGAGAGAATGGGTTTTGGGAATTATTAGTGTAATTTGTGTAACGTGGTGGAGTTGCAAAGTATAATACTGTCAGGCATCTGTATTCGATTGTTGTTTAACATTGTGGGGCAGCTCTTCGTTGTAATTGGGATTGTTGTAACCCTGCGGTCAGTCGTTGAGGTAAACTCCTGGGAGAGTTCCTGTTACCGGGGCTATGAGTTGGTGAAGCTCGTTGAAAAGTGGCCTGTGAGTCGGGCCCAGTTCAAATGACAGGTCATAATAAAGCGCATGTTTCTGGTGTGCTCTTTGCCGGCCCTGGCTTTAGCAGAGCTGAAAATACCGGGTAAAGGACTTTTAAATAAGATCTTTCTTTTGGTTTTGTCGGGAGTAGGTTTTGGGTGTTTTTTTTCTTTCTTTTCACTTCATCAAGAAGATAGGGGCAGAGGAAGGAGGAACATTCTTCCCTCTGCCTTTCAGAGGGGAGTGGCCATCTGCACTGAAGCAAAGGTCCTTTGTGGGGGAAGAGGGTCCGCAGCATCATCTTTAAAGGGGACATTGTTCCGTAGTAACCCGAGAACCGCTGCTCCAAGAGCTTTGCATATTTATCAAATTAATGCCCGTGCAGGTGGACAGTAGTAACTTCTTTCTGATGATTCCTTCTGAATAGTGTTTGATAGTGATGATGTTTTATGTTTTTTAGAAAAGCTTGATTCACTTGAGTAATTTTGCACAAGAATGCTTATAGCACAAGTGAGGGCTGTATCCTTACTGTAATGCTTTTTATTTTTTCTTATCACAGGAAGAACATTTTCCTTGACTTTCAGGTGCTTTTATATTCATCTCGAAAAGAAAGAATTCTGAACTCAGGATTTGGCAAGTGAGTAATAGTGGCTAATGCTTCCAAATACTGTTTAATCACCTTGAAAATAGCTAGATAGAAGTGGAACAAGAATCCATTGGCTCCAACAGAAGATGAACATCAAAAGTGACCATAAATAATTGATATTCAAGCTTAACCTTTTATTTTCAGTAATGGTTATGTATTAAGTAAAAAAAAAAGAAAAGAGGCCGAAACCGGTTTGGCTCAGTGGATAGAGCGTCGGCCTGCGGACTGAAGGGTCCCAGGTTCGATTCCGGTCAAGGGCATGTACCTGGGTTGCAGGCACATCCCCAGTAGGAGATGTGCAGGAGGCAGCTGATCGATGTTTCTCTCTCATCGATGTTTCTAGCTCTCTATCTCTCTCCCTTCCTCTCTGTAAAAAATCAGTAAAATATATTTAAAAAAAAAAAAAAGAAAAGAAAAGAGATACTTAATCATTAGCCCAAACCATTTTACTGGGTAAAAAAGAATGATTTAATTAGATTGAAAGAGTTTGACTAATAAAATATGTTATTAGGCAAATTTTAGAATATATTCACTTAAGTTTTAATTTTAGGTAAGTATTGATACTATAATATTTAATTTCTAAAGCTTTTCAGTACTTCTTTTTTCCCCTAGTGTGAGTCTATTCTGTGCCAAGTGTTGATATCTTCTGAATTTACTGCAGAAGTAGGTGTGTGTTTTTTTGTGGAAAGAATGTGTTTTGGGAATTATTAGTGTAATTTGTGTAATGTGGTGGGGTTGCAAAGTATAATACTATCAGGCATCTGTATTATATGAGAGAACATACTGCCTCAAAGAGCAAGAGGCAGTATGTACTCAGTTGACAATATCTTATCTGTAAAATAGGGTTCTTACCTACTGTATTAATTTCCTAGTGCTGCCATAACAAAGTACCACAAACAGTGACTTAGGACAACAGAAATTCATTATCTCACGGTTTTGGAAATCAGATACTAGGAAAGGATCTGTTCCAGGCCTTCTAGCTTTTGGTAGTTCCTTGGCGTATGGCATTATAACTACACATGTTTGCTTGTTTTTTAATCCTCACCCAAGGAAATTTTTTCCATTGTTTTTATTTTATTTTGTGTTTGTGTTTTTGTTTTTGTTTTTTTTTAGAGAGAGTTGAAGGGAGGGAGGAGAGAGAAACATTGATGTGAGAGACACACATACACACCCTGACTGGGGCCAGGGATGGGGCCAGGGATCGAGCCTGCAACTGAGATAGGTTCTCTTGACCAGGCATCGAACTTGCAGACCCTTTGGTCCCAGGCTCAATGCTCTAACCATTGAGCAACTGACCAGGGCTATAATTCTAGTCTTCACATAGTATTCTTGCTGTGTGTGTCTGTGTTCTAAATTTTCCTTTTTATAAGGACCTCATCTTAACTAATTACATGTGCAATGGTTATTTCCAAATAAGGTCACATTTTGAGGTACTGGGGCCTAAGATTTTAACATGAATTTGGGGAGGTCACAGTTTAGCTCATAGCATCTACTTAGTCATATGCCTTGATTGTGTTGTATGAAATCATTCAATGTACAACTGCTTTAAGGATTAAAATCTTGTAAACCCCTTTCATAAGGTACTTTAAGTAGTCAAAACCATAGAGATAGAAAGTAGAATGATGATTGCCAGGGGATGCAGGGAGGGAAATAAGGAGTTATTTAATAGGTAACAGAGTTTCAGTTTTGTGAGATGAAAAGAGTTCTGAAGATGGATGGTGGTGATGGCTTCACAACAACATGAATTTACTTAATAACACTAACTCTTAAAAAAGGTTAAGATGATAAATTTTATATTACATGTATTGTACCATAATTTTAAAATATTGTAAAAAAAAAGTAAGTAAAAAAACTCCAACTGTATGTGTCAATATTAAGAAAAGGAATAAAAATTAATGGGGCAAAATTCCCTTTAGGTGATATCTTTATCATATGCCTTTAGAGGGAAGGCTTTATTGCTTGGATTTAGAACCTTAAGTCCAGGTCGATAGAAATAGCAACTTGATATTGGTATAGCACAATATTGATTTACATACCCAGCTAAGGAAACTGATGTAGGTGCTTCTGTACTCACAGGAAGCTTGAATACTGGATACGGAATGATCTCGTATACATTAAAGGAAAAAACAAAGGTGCAGAACCAGGTGTATAGTGTGCTTTCATTTGTGGGGAAGAAATAAAGTTACTTACACAGATGTTATGTAACCATAGAATATCTCTAAAAGGATATGCAGTAAATACTCTATACCACCCCCTGGCAATGGGTAAAGAGACACCCGGTTGGTAGTATTGCTCTTACATAAGTCAAGGGAAAAGTAGATATATATAGTCTTTAGTTCATACTAACTTGATGCCTATGTTGGGGGCCAATAGAAACAACAGAAACTTATTGTCTCACAGTTTTAGAAATCAGACATCCACCTTTTTCATGCTTGGGGCACATAAAACAAACAACTGTATACTCTATTTCACCTTTTCCTATCATGTGCATTTGTCATCTTTCAAGGAAATAATTAAAAATACCCAAAGAAAGAAGCACGCAATAAATAATTGATAAATGACTGAGAAGTTAAGTTTTTGCCTTAGGCAGTAATTTTACATTAGTAGAGTCTATCCATATCTGGGAACAGAAACTGTCCAGCAAGCCTAGTACTTTTTTTTAATAAGACACTTAAAAATGGAATTTGAATGACAATGATATCCATTGTGTTTTGTGAGATGTTCTAAATTTACTATTTACAGAGAAAAGTAAGAAAGGAGTACTTGAGTCGCATGTCATTAAAGGAAGCAAAGTGTATTAGTTATTTATTGGACATAACAAATTGTCCAAAATTTAGTGGATTAAAACAACATTATAGATTTATTATCTCAGAAATTTATGTGGGTCAAACATTAGGGAGCAGCTTAGTTGGGGGTTTCTGTCTTAGGGTATCTTACACGGTTGCAGTCTAGATACTGACTGGGGTGGCAGTCATCATATCTAATTCCATGGTGGCTCATTCACATGGCTGGCAAATTCATGTTGGTGATGGAAAACCTCAGTTCTTTCCAGTGTCGGTCTCTTCCAGGGTTGCTTGAGTGCCATCGTAATACAATATATGGCTTCTCCATCTATGACCTTGCCTCAGAAGTTACTCACTATTACTTCCTCCTCATCCTCCTCCTCCTCCTCCTCCTTCTCCTCCTCCTCCTCCTCCTCCTTCTCCTTGGTCTATTGGTTACTATTTTGACACCAACTAGTATACTTTGATACAATTCTGATACCATTTGGAGTTAATGCAGACCCCACAAGTCTAAAGGGCATTGTCCCAAACAGACTGCCCTTGCTTTATTTATTTTATTTATTTGTTCCTCACCAGAGAGTATGTTTTTCATTGATTCTAGAGGGGTTGGGGAGAGGGAGAGAGAAACATTGATAGATTGCCTCCTGATCTCACCTAGACTGGAACTGCAGCCTAGGTACGTGCCTGACCAGGAATCAAACCTGAGACTGAGCCACGCTAGACAGGGCTGCCCTAAAGTTTTTATTTGTTTGTTTGTTTAATTTATTTATTTATTTATTTCAAAAACGAGGCCCAGTGCACGAAATTTGTGCATGGGTGGTGGTGGGGTCATCCCTCAGCCTGGCCTGAATCCTCTCTCAATCCGGAAACCCTCGGGGGATGTCCGACTGCCAATATAGGCCAGATCCCACAGGGATTCCTGCAGGATCGGGCCTAAACCAGCAGTCGGACATCCCTCTCAGAATCCGGGACCACTGGCTCCTAACTGTGGCCCTGCCTGCCTGATCGCCCCTAACCACTCTGCCTGCCTGCCTGATCGCCCCTAACCACCTCTGCCTTAGCCCCTGCTGCAGTGGCTTTATCCGGAAAGACGTCCGGAAGGTTGTTCAGCTGTCCGATCTAATTAGCATGTTACCCTTTTATTATAGAATAGAGGCCTGGTGCACAAAAATTTGTGCACTCGGAGGGGAGAGGGGTCCCTCAGCCCGGCCTGTGCCCTCTTGCAGTCTGGGACCCTGAGGGTATGACCACCTGCTGGCTTAGGCCCGCTCCCCGGGGGATTGGGGCTAAGATCGCAATCAGACATCCGCCTGGCAGCCCTCGGGGGATGTCCACTTGCCAGCGGGGAGCAGGCCTAAACTGCAGTCGGACATCCTTAGCGCTGCTGAGGAAGCAGGAGAGGCTCCCACCACCACCGCTGTACTGGCAGCCATCAGCCTGGCTTGTGGCTGAGCAGAGCTCCTCCCATGTGAGAGCACCCTGACCACCAGAGGGCAGCTCCTGCATTGAGCGTCTGCCCCCTGGTGGTCAGTGTGTGTCATAGTGACCAGTCATTCCCAGTCGTTCTGCTGTTAGGGTCATTTTGCATATTACCCTTTTACTATATAGGATAGAGGCCTGTTGCATGGGTTGGGGCCGGCTGGTTTGCCCTGAAGGGTGTCCCGGATCAGGGTGGGGGTCCTGCTTGCGTGCCTGGCCAACCTGGATGAGGGGATGATGGCTGTTTGCATCTGGTCACACCCCCTTCAGGATGGGGGTCCCCCCTGGGGTGCCTGGCCAGCCTGGATGAGGGGATGATGGCTGTTTGCAGCTGGTCACACCCCCTTCAGGGTGGGGGTCCCCACTGGGGTACCTGGCCAGTCTGGGTGAGGGGCTGAGGGCTGTTTTCAGGCTGGCGGGTGACTGAAGCTCCCAACCTCTCCTTTTTTTTCTTTTTTTTAATTCTGGGGTTTATTTACCTTCTATGGCTATCACTGGAGCTGAGAGCCAGCTTTAGTTCTGAGGTTCAGCTCCAGCTCTGAGACCTTGGCTGTTGAAAGCAGGTATCTGGGTTTGTTTGGGTTCTATAATTGTAACACTGTTGCGGTCCTGCTCGCTCCAGCTCTGACGGCTGAAAGCAGGTTTCTGGGGATTGTTTAGCTTCTATAATTGCAACATAGTTGCTTAGAGTGCAAGCTCAGAGACCGGCAGAGGCAGGCGGGGAACCTTGGCTTCCTCTATCACTGAAGTAAGCAAGCCTCCTGTTCACTTCAGCTGCCTGGCTGTCAGCCGCCATCTTGGTTGGCAGTTAATTTACATATCACCCTGATTAGCCAATGGGAAGGGTAGCGAAGTTACGGTTAATTACCATGTTTCTCTATTATTAGATAGGCTAGGTTTTATTGATTATTTATTTATTTATTTTTTAAAGGGAGAGAGAGGAAGGGAGAAGGATCGAAAGATAGACACATCAGTGAGAGAGAAACAGCATCGATTGGCTGCCTCCTGCATGTCCCCTACTGGAGATGGAGCCTGCAACCCCAGGCACGTGCCCTCACTAGGAATCAAACTGGTGACCTCTTGGTTCCTGGGTCAACACTCAACCACTGAGCCATACTGGCTGGGCTGCCCTCCCTTTATTTTTTATTTTTAAATACATTTTTATTAATTTCAAAGGGGGAGGAGAGATAGAAACATAAATGATAGAGAATCATTAATTGGCTGCCTCCTCAACACCAGACATTGGGGATTGAGCCCACAACCCGGGCATGTGCCTTGACCAGGAATTGAACCATTACCTCCTAGTTCACATGTTGACACTCAACCACTGAGTCATGTCGCCAGGGCACTGTTCTTTTAAGTGCCAGTTACACATTGGAGGATTCCCAGGCCACCTGAATTTCTGTTCAACTCTGCAAATTTCAGGGTTCCCATGACCCTGTCAAAAACAACTTTTGGTTTTGTTGAATCTGTATTTTTTTTCCATTTTATTTAAGTCTGCTCCAATTTTCCCCCTTCCTACTTGCTAGCTTTCCATTTAGTTTATTCTTTTTATTTTTTTAAATATATTTTATTGATTTTTTACAGCGAGGAAGGGAGAGGGATAGAGAGTTAGAAACATCGATGAGAGAGAAACATCAATCAGCTGCCTCCTGCGCACTCCCCACTGGGGATGTGCCCGCAACCAAGGTACATGCCCTTGGCCGGAATCGAACCTGAGACCCTTGAGTCCACAGGCCGATGCTCCATTCACTGAGCCAAACCGGCTAGGGCTAGTTTATTCTTTTTCTAGTTACGTAAGATATAAAGTTAGGTTGTTGTTTGGAGATCTCTTTTTGTTTTTTCTCCATTGATTTTTAGAGAGAGTAGAAGGGGGGGGGTGTGAGAGAGAAACATCAGTGTAAGAGACACATCAATTGGTTGCCTCCTTCACACGCCCCAACCAGGGCCAGAGATCAAGGTACATGCCCTTGACCCGAATTCTTTTACCATGTCAAGAAATTATTAAAAATACAGGTACTTCTCCGAACACCGGCCTGGGGGAGAGGGGGGGCAGGGAAGAGGCGGCTGCTGGCAGCCACCTCTTCCCTGCCCCGCCCGGCTTCTCTGATCACGGATCACCGGCCGGGGGGCGGACAAAGGCAGCCCCGGTTCTCTGATCACGGGCTGGGTTTCCGATCACCGTCGGTGGCAGGCGGCTTCTTCCATCCTTCCCCTTTCACCTCCCAGCATTGTGCCTATGTATGCAAATTAACCGCCATCTTTGTTGGCAGTTAATTTGCATATCACTCTGATTAGCCCATGGGAAGTATAGCAAAGGTACGGTCAGTTACCATGTTTGTCTATTATTAGATAGGATAGCCCTGTTGCCCATAAGGTTCTAAAGGCCTGCCTGTGTATCGGCTATATTTTTTCCTTCTGCTGCTTTGGCAACAAATGCAAATTCTGCAGTTCTCTTCCTTTAGATATAATTCTGAATTAATTTACAATTGCCTGTCATATGTTTTGAATCAGAACTGTCTTGTCTTCAACCAAAAGAGGTTATTCAAATTCAGTTTAGAGCTGAGGTGTTATATATACAGGGTATTCCCCCAAAAATGTATACACAATGTCTGTAGATTCTATTACATTTTGAAAATGAAATGTATTTTTAATAAACACTGCCTTTATAATTATTCAAAGTGTGCATACATTTTTGGGGGACACCCTGTATATGACATACTACAAATGGAGGGTCAACCCTATCAAGGTAGCTAATAAATTTTTTAAAATAGAGGGTTAGGAAGACTAATTGCAATTGGCCATTTTTGTAAGCCAAAGTACTTTAAGCTCTTGATATGTATTTGACTTATTTATGTATTTATTTTAATCCTCTCTTGATGATATACTTATTGGTTAGAAAGAAGGAAAGTATGGGGAGTAGAGAAATAAACATCGATGTGAAAGAGAACATTGATTGGTTGCCTTCTGTCTGTGCCCTGACTGGGAATTGAGCCTGCAACTTTTTGATATATGAACCACACTCTAGTCATCCAAGCCACACTGGCCTGGGCTGACTTTTTTATTATAAAGTATACATAAAATACAATTTGTCATTGTAATCATTTTTAAATGTACAATTCAGTGGCATTTAAGTGCATTCACATTGTTGTGCAGCCATTACCACTATTTCTAGAACTTACTCATTATCCCAAACATCAGTACCTGTTAATCAGTAATTTCCCATTCCACTTCTCCCAGCCCCTAGTAACCTCTATTCCACTCTCAGTTTATATGATTTGCATATTCTAGGTACCTCATGTAAGTGGAATTATACAATATTTGTTCTTTTTTGTCTGACATTTGCCAAGATTTGCAATTTAATAAGTGTTATGTTTAGTAGCAATGAACTGCTAATGTTTTGTTTTTAATATTTCATTGATTTTTTACAGAGAGGAAGGGAGAGATAGTTAGAAACATCGATGAGAGAGAAACATCGATCAGCTGCCTCCTGCACATCTCCCACTGGGGATGTGCCCGCAACCCAGGTACATGCCCTTGACCGGAATCAAACCTGGGACCTTTCAGTCTGCAGGCCGACGCTCTATCCACTGAGCCAAACCGGTTTTGGCAATACTGCTTTTAAACACAAATATTTACAGCCATAAAATCATTTTGACTGTAAAAACTTGGAGTATATTACTTTATTTGCATAAGAGGAAATTAATGTGTATATCTCATTTTATATAAGTTTTTGTATAAATCTTTTTTGTATCATACTTACATATTTTTTTCTGGCTACTGCTTCTGCTTTTCTGGTGATGATACTGAATTGGGTGTTATGGTTGCACATTTTCTTTTAGACAGTGTATAATTCAAAGTATTTTTTTTCTCTGTGTTAAATACTATTTTTAAAAGTAAGCTTATACAGAAGTACCTGTTTTAATCTTTCTGTTTTTATTTTGTATTTCTAGGTATTTCTGTGTTGTCTTCTGGAGTGGGGAGTCCTGCTTCTTCTGTCTACCCACTTCCGTATCTTGAAATGCGGATATCCCTCCTCTACATTTTACCTCCATGTTTTGGATTGCAAAAGATTGCTTTTCTTTTTCTTCCCACCTCTCAAATTTAACACAGAGAAGCTCCTAGGATGCAGTCATCATGCCAACTTCTCCAAGAAGAAAGAAGCAACTGACATGTTTCTTCTGCCAATTGCTTACTTGTAAAGAAATTATTTTGCAAGCTGGAGGGTGATGTTTAATTTGAAACTGGTGCTTAGATGGTGGTATTTGTGAATTCTTTACCTTTTATTCCCAGCAAGAAGACTATATAAATAGCTAGTGTGGGTGTGACATCAGGATTTGTTTGGTTTTTTTAATGTCTTCCCATTTTAGCCACTATCATAAACACAGTCAAGACTGCAGCAGTAAATTTCAGATGTGTTGTAATTTGAAATGAAAGATATGCTAATATATATATATAAATCCTGGCTCAACCTGTGACATAGATGAACTGTATAAGAACAAAGGTCCAGCTTTGCAGTGAAACCTTTGATGTGATAAAGAAGCACAAAAACAGAATATCACCAAGTTAATTTCATATATGAATAAGCCATCACAGTTTCTGTATAAATATATATATTTTAACATGTAAATCCACTTTTTTTTTTTTTTTTTTTATGAGAAGAGGGATTTTCTTCCCAGAGAAGGAACCTATTCTTTCTCAGAAGTCTTTGGACATTTGGTATTGTAAAAAATTTTTTTTTCTTCTAAGGAAGGACCATATTGTGCTAACCCAATGAATGCATGCTTGGGTTTACTGAAGGTTGATAAAGGAAACAAAAGCTTTGAGTCCAGTGTTGGAACTCTTTTCACCTCCTTGGGATGAGAGGCTGCTGTATTACAAATTACTTCATTCTCTTTTGTGGAGTTTTATATAGCACTTGGGACTTTTTCCCTATTGCTAAGGCTGGAGGAAAGGTGACATAAGTAGATTTTCTGTTCAGAAGATGTGATGGACCCTCCAGTATGACCTGCCTTCAACTTTGGACATGGGGGGATGGGGGGGGAGAGAGGAGGGAATGAGAAAATTTTCATATAACTCCCTTCTCCTAAGAAAATGAAGCAAAAAAGGCTTATACATCCACCTGGCTTTATGGCGTTTTACATTCATAGCTCTATTTTTTTGTAAAAGTATAAATAACTTTCCTTTGACCCAAGATCAATACTTGGATGTTTGATTGCTTTTTCTAGATGATAGCTGTAATGTTAGGCAGAAAAGGCTGGGACTCAGGTAACTCCCCATTTTCATCAGAGAATGGGCCTCAGAAGCAATGTTCCCAAACATTTTTTGGATCAGTATAAATTTAGAAGAAATTCAGGTCTAAAGAAAACCTCAAAAAAAAAAAATAGTTCCAATAAGAAATAAGGATCTTCCTTTCCCTTAAAACTTACACTATATGGTGAATAGACTATAGTATAAAGCTGTTCTTGCTTCAAGATCAGCAGAGGACCAGTGTATGAATTGTCAGGTCTTTACATGAGAAGAATGAAACCATTATGGGTCTTTGTTATTTGAGAAAGAATTTAAAGCCTCTTAGGAACAAATCATCTTAGGTCATGTCTGTTATTTAGGGACTGCTTGCCCAGGGCCATACATGCTGTTAACGCTGAAAACAGGCAGATTTACCAAATTTGAGAGTGATAGGACTGGCCCAGAATAGAAATGTTGAGCACCCTTGATAATTAGTTTAATTGGTCAACCAATCTGAATTGGCATAAGAAAACTTTTGAGTAGAAATTACATAGATAAAATGTGATTTTCCTTAATTGAGGGCAATTACTGAGTGGTAAAGCATAGAAGTAACTGGATAAAGGTAGTTTAAATTTTTCTCTACGTAACTTCCCAGCCACTTCCTGATTCCTAATATTTTGGAATCATTAATGGCAGAATGGAATTTACATATTCCATTTGGGTCCTGTTGGTATATTGAGAATATCAAATGGAGAATTTGTATCTTCAGTTGTCTATTACCCATCTTCCTGGTGTCCTTTTGGCAACTTTTTAGGTAGAACTACTTGGCTAGAAATAAGGAACCCTGTACAATCAGAACCAGTGAAAACATCTCTGGCTCACTTGTTTGAAATATGTATCAGACTCAACTTCCTTAGTTGCTTTATGTTTTTTTCATTTCATAGCTAAGGAAACTACTGTTTAATGTTCTTTCAAGTTGTTGCGCATCTTGTCAGCAGATGGCATTTAACAAAACGCGTATTTTCCAGTTGTATTTGCCCAGTGTTTATTTAATACATCTACATTGGTTTTTTCCTGGTTTGGTCCCCTTCTTGATGGCAAAAGTTATCATTTTCGGCAGGACTCAATCGATAGCTGTGCCTGCTTCCTTTCCTTTGTGCATCCACGTTAGCTGGCAATTGTTTTTTGTGTTTTTGTTTTGTTTTTTTAAGTTTAAAACGGGATATGTGCAATAGAAATATATATATATGTATATTTTAATACTTGTGGACAAATGTTACAAGTTGTTTCAGAACAACAAAATCACCAATGTCTTCCATTTTGAGATGTGTATAGTTTTGTAAGCACTAGTGCTTGGTAGCATATTGTAGTGCCATGTTAGGGGTTAGTGCATGAGCCTAGTAACAATTTAAACTTCAGGATGAATTATTATAATAACCAATAGTGTAAAAAGTGGAAAATTTAGAACTTTTCTTTCATAAGTTTCTGTATCCATGATATTCTCCCTGGGGAGAGGAGATTAGGCCAAAAAGACTCATTTATGAATAGTAATGTGGGGTCACAATGTGAAATACTGTGTTTGAGGATATTTAAGCTTTTCATGAGGTAGCTGGAAACCAGCTGTCTTGTGTGTCTTATGAAACCTCAAATCAAAATGTGGCCCCATTTCATGATTCTGCTTTGCTCAGTTTTAGGTGAGATTGTTCTTATGCTTTTTTCACATTTTATGTCTTTTAGGTTTATAATTTTCCCACTCCTTTTGCATCAGGAAATTATTTTGCACGTCTTACTGAGATGCTATGTTCATTGCTTGAGTGCTTTTCTAATCTGTAGTCTACTTACACTTCCTGTCTGCAGCATGCCATGTGTCAGTAGTTTAGAGTGTCCTAGATTAATTTGTCAGGGGCTTTTCCTGTTTCCAAATTTGCTGAATTGTGTATTGTTGGGATTCTAGACCTTTTCATGGAATTGGAAATATAGCCAATAGAGCCTACCTAAGTTGCCATGTAATAACTAAGTTTGCTTGGTTATAGTAAGCCTCCTCAGACAGCTTTCACTTTTCTACTTTCCTTGTAGATATAAAAGTTATTTTTATTCTGAAAGCATAAGATAGCGTCATGTAGAAAAGAAATTCCTACCTCTAAAAGCTGCCTTGAGAACTTGTAAATGGCAGTTTTCTGAGGTGATTTTTAAATCTCTTAGGGGAGTCCAGGATTTATTCACAGGTTCTATAGTTAGCATGATAGGAAATGCAAAACTAGTTTAATGTGTGTCTGATGTAGAAGCAAGCTTAGACAGATAGACTCTTCTGCAGCAGATCTCCAGGGACCCAGATTTAGATGCTCATAGTGTACTTTAAGTAGTTGTACTCTTGGCTCAAGTAGTTTAGTGCCTGCGAGAATCCATTTCTGAAAAGTATTTAAATACTTTTTTAATACCTCTGAAAAGGTAATGAATACAAAATAGCACAGTATATAGGAAAGGATATTTCCTATTGAAAAAAAAAAGCCATAAAACGAACTAATAATTTCAAGAGGTAGAATTTTAGCAATAACAATTTTAGCATGTATAGTAAGCTGGATTAGCAAGGTTGTACTGTAGAATAAGTATTACTAGAGTTTGTGAGGCTCTATGGTCAAGAGTTGTACAAAAGGAAAAAGATGCTAGGTAAAGAGCATATAAAAGATACTTTCAAAAACTATGAGTGTATGAATATGTCAGTGAGAAATAGCAACTTTTATGTAAATTAAAGGTTAAAGATCCTATTTGCTTTCTAGAACAGAGGGTTAGAGCCATTGAATGAACTATTTCTACTGCTTAACCTGGACACAAATGTTTCTTCTCTTATTGATGAAGAAACCCCACTGAAGCCATCATGTGGGGATCTTGCTTATGATGTTTTTTTAGCATCATACTAATAGCATACTTTTTGCTTTGTCACCTTATCTTTCTCCATTAGTTTCCTGGGTGCATTTTTAAAAAGGAAAAGTTTGTTGTGTATATGTATTTAGAGTTAACAAGAACTTGGATAGCTGGTAACCTCATGCCTATGGTTAATTTAGGGCTGTGATGGCGAACCTATGACACGCGTGTCAGAGGTGACATGCGAACTCATTTTTTTGGTTGATTTTTCTTTGTTAAATGGCATTTAAATATATAATAAATATCAAAAATATAAATATTTGTTTTACTATGGTTGCAAATATCAAAAAATTTCTATATGTGACACAGTACCAGAGTTAAGTTAGGGTTTTTCAAAATGCTGACACGTCAAGCTCAAAATGTTCGCCATCACTGGTTAGGGAGTTAAGATTTAAAGGTATAAAACAAAAGGATTAAAGGAAATAGCCAGAGACAGTATGTTGGGTTTGTTTGTTTTTAAACCTTGTCTAAAGTAGATGTGTTAGGCCAATAGCCTGTGACTACTTACTTTAACAAGAACCCAGCAAACTAGTTTTTTGATGAGGAATCATGCAGCTCACATCAGGATATAAGAGTAGAATGAAGGTGACTTCTTACTCCCTTTTACCTCATGTCATCTTGGCCATTTAGCACTTTGAAGATCCCTGAAAAGATGTGGTCTATGTTCCCTTGTTTTCCAAGGGGAAAAACAACTAAAATATAAGTGGAGAAGATCAACAAATACAGCGCCTCTTGAATATTTAATTCTTACATGGCAACTCCAAAGGAAAGGGAGACTATATTAAATTGATTATAGCTTCTTTTTAAATGTCCTAAACCATCAGTTGGTGTTAAAAACATTGGAATAACCAAGCAATATTCAGACATCTGCATGATCATGAGACACCAGGTGTATTACTGTGATGTCAACAATTTAGTTACTTAAACAATTAAAGATGACCCTTAACAGCCAAGTTAATAGTTCCAAATGCTAAAATATGCTACAAATTTTTGTAGTTTCAAAGTATGCAGTTAATTAGTTTTCAGTGTTGTGGTCTCATGTTTACTTTAGTGTATCTGTGATATGCAAAATATGAAGAGACCCTTGGCCTCCAGGAGTTTACATTATCATGGTGCTGCTGGTGCGGGCAAATTATTTCTAGTTTATTCAGAACATTGCGTGGCTATTTAGTCATACCGTATTTGGAAGGATCCCTTGATCAACAGTTTTTAGAAGCAGAGGGCTATGCTAAATTTCAGGGCATTGATTTTGAGTTTACATTATATTAGCTCTGCTATTTTTAAACTCCTTTTCCCCTGGGAGCTGTGTAGGTTATGCTCTTAATGTGAATTAGAAAAAAAAAGAAACTATTCTAAGAGCATCTTCACCATCCCTAAACCACATGCTCCTCTATTCTATAGCAGTCAATAAATGGCCAAGAAAACTCCAGAAGACTGTACATCTCTCAGTTCTCTTTCTTTTCCCAGAAGCTTTGCATCATTTTCTACCCAGTAGGACCAGGATTTGCAATTAAGCCTTTATAACTGAATAGTAGTCCTAATTTTAACTTCTGTGCGTGACTCTTGTACCTGGATTCTGAAGTAGCATTGTGATAGATGTGGAGCATCTGCCTGCATTTCTAAGCAATCACTTTATTAATATCCATTTTTGGTTGAAATTTTGCATGTATCTTTGTTATTCTAATTCTTATAAATCAAGGGGTTTACTCTGCATGTTTATTAAAACTGAGTCTGGATGAAAGTGCAAGCAATAGTGGCAGACCCATAACTCTGATTTTAGAGTACTAATATTTTAATGCATGATTGAAAATGTCTAGTATTAAGTGGTTAATAGTAATTATATATGCATTTATTAATGAAGCAATAGAGACTTAAACCAATAGCTTGAATTTATTGTTTGGATTACTAGTTTACATTTTCTAACTAAAGATGATCTTACTTCCATTAAAAATGGAAGCTACAAGATAAACAGGGGCAACCATAAGACATTCAAACTGTCAGGAATAGAGCATAACAGTGCTCATCACCCTCTAACCTCTTGCCTGATTCCATTAGTCCCCAAGCATGTTTAAAAACAATACAAAAGGCACAAACTAAGCATGTGGAGTAAATAAATAAGCTGCTATAGTTATCAGAAAAGGTGCAGAGTTTCATAAAGGATAGGGGATAGTGTGGAGTTAAAAACAAGTAGATAGAGGGTTTGTCTGGTAAAGTTATGTGGCTTAAATTTGCGTCTCATTACTAGTATCTTGTCAGTGAATAGAGGCAGTTGCACACATTTTATATGTTTCAGGATTTTCAGATAAGTAGGCAACTCTTCTGGGTTGTACCGATATTGACTGGCCATAAAGGATCCCAGCAAAAAAGAAACTTTCATTTTGTGGAAATAGTCCTGAAAATATTAACATATCTGTGGTTTGGTTTCTCTTTTGTTACTGAATTACATTAACATTATTTTGTTATTATTTTTTTAATAGCCAGAGTTTTATTCTTGATGTTTTGATCAGGCTGCATAATCTGCCTAAAGTTTTTGATGCCAAGTAAACAGGAGCAAGTTTTTACTTTTGTGTTTATTATAGTAGCTTAAAATTTTTAGACAATTCCTAACTTTGGAATAATCCTTTTAAGTCCAAGTGATTATGATGAATAATGTAAATGGGAGTAATTATATCTAAAAGAGGCCTAAACAGGATTAGACTAGATAGACACTTTGCTATGGGATTTCCCTCCAGATACCTTTGGAAATGTGTAAATGTAATGGTAACTTTTCAGTAGTTTACAACGGAATTAGAGTATGGTCATCACAGTATCTGGTTTCCACTCAAATATAGGAAGTGAGATGTCATATCTTATATGTAAAGTTTCTCTTTGCCACTATTAATAACATGCCTATCAACCAATGAAGATTTAAGGACAGTTTCTCTAAACTCTGTTCCCATTATTCCACTAAGGCATATTAAAGGTTATTAGAAAAACAAAAATCATAGATTTCTCCAGGAATCCATACTCCTAAGCCTCCCTTTTAAGTCAGAATAGATATTTTAGGGTTACTAACAATTTCCAAAAGATTTTGTCTCTTGTGGTGATGGTCAGCCATGCCATCAATTCAAATATATTTTTCTCCCAGGGACAAAAGATATTCTGGCAATACATTATCATCAGTCCTTAAACAATAGCAGTCATCTTGGCGTTTACCTTAAAATCACCCATCACTAAGAATCACATTAGAGTATCCTTTACATACGGTTTTATGTGCTACCTGTCCTTTTAAGTAGTTGTTGCTCATTGTTTTTACTTGCTATTCTGCATCTTCTCCACTGCACCAGTGATACAGGCGATAATGTTAAAAGAATTTCATTGAATGTTTAAAGTATTACAAAAGCAGCTTGCTTTTTAATCTATGCATCTTTGGGATTTTAGAAAAGATTTTATTGTTTTCTAAAGATTTTATGTAAAAAGGAACTGCTTTAAGAATTGGAAACTCTGCACCTGTGTATATATATATATTTTTTGGCAATAAAGCAGCATGGGCTGAGAATGCACTGAAATTTCACTGTGTTGTTCCTTGGAATGGGTAATTTCTAATAAATAATGCAGTAAATTAGGAGGATGGGAAAAGGAACCTATACACAGACCTGTCCTAAGGCAGACTCCAGGTGCCTGAGTTGTGGTTTCTGTTGTCCAAGTGAGCAGGCAGCCATTTGAAGAAGGAGACATTTATTTATCCGTTTTCAAATTGAAAGAACATTTATTTAGAAAGTTACGGAGGTAGTACAAGTGAGCCAGCTGAGCTGCATAGGCTCAGGAAACATTGCAACGGCAGAAGAAGGGCTCTTGGAGTTTAGCAAAAAGACAAAGGTAACGTGCCTGGGGGGAAGAAGAGGGGTAAGGGCATTCTCCAGAGAATGAGAGCATGCCAAGAGGTATCCCATTTAAATTTATGCCAATCCCCTTTTACTTTTGGGGACAGCCTTACGCTATGTCTGTGAGCCAGTTTCTGGTAAGGGAAATAGTGACCTATGTATAATAACTATAATAACGACACAGCTATTGCAGGGAATCCTTCCTATCTGAGATAAAGCATTTAAGATCCTTTTATATTTAATTAAATGTTGGCTAAGTTAAATAAAGAGATTTTAATACTCTAATAAAGAACAGATGCTTCCCCTTGACTAAGATGAAAGGAAAGGAGTTTTTCAACTAAAAAATTAGGCCTTACAAACTTCCTTGGGATTGAATATTGTAAATGCAGAGGAACAAAAACTGGTTTTGTGGTGTAACTAATGCAATAAATCAAGAGAGTATTTAACATACACTCCCAGGTGCTATGCCAGATCTTGGGCTTAAAATAATTAAGATGGCCCGGCTGGCATGGCTCAGTGGTTGAGGATCAACCTATGAATCATGATTTGATTTAGATCAGAGCACATGCCCAGATTGTAGGCTCGATCCCCAATGTGGTTTGAGCAGGAGGCAGCTGATCAGTGATTCTCTTTCATCATTGATGTTTCTATCTCTCTCCCTCCCTCTCTGAAATCAATTTTTTTTAAAATGGTTTTTAATTAAGGAACTCAAGAGTTTATAACTCTGCCCAACCAGTGTTGCTCAGTGTTTGAGCATATAGACAGACCCATTAACCAATAGGTTACTGGTCTGATTCCCAGTCAGGGTACATGACCAGGTTCTGAGCTCATTCCCCAGTAGGGGGCGGGTAGGAGGCAGCTGATTGATGTTTCTATCCTCTATTCTCTCTCTAAAATCAATAAAAACCGTTTTCTAAAAAGTTTACAACTCGGGACCTTCAATATGCAATTTTATCCTTCTTTTAAAAAAAAAATATATTCTATTGATTTTTTACAGAGGAAGGGAGAGGGATAGAGAGTTAGGAACGTCGATGAGAGAGAAACATTGATCAGCTGCCTCCTGCACACTCCCTACTGGGTATGTGCTCGCAACCAAGGTACATGCCCTTGACCGGAATCAAACCTGGGACCCTTGAGTCTGCAGGCCAACACTCTATCCATTGAGCCAAACTGGTTAAGGCTGCAATTTTATTCTTATAATTACCTGGAATTTTGAAACTACTTTTATTCAACATATAGACAATGCTAACTGGTATCAAACTTTAGTACAGTAGCCTTAGAATCTCTTAATATCAGCCACACTATCAACTCTTATACCACCTAAAGCATGTTTAAAAAGTCAACTACTGCCCTAGCTGGTTTGGCTCAGTGGATACAGCGTTGGCCTGTGAACTGAAAGGTCCCAGGTTCCATTCCAGTCAAGGGCACATGCCTGGGGTTGTGAGCTTGATCCCCAGTAGGGGGTGTGCAGGAGGCAGCCAATCAATGATTCTCATTATTGATCTTTCCATCTCCCTTCCTCTCTGAAATCAATAATATATATATATATATATATATATATATATATATATATATTTCCTCTCTGAAGTCCATAATATATATATATTTTTTGGGGGACTCCAGAGCATGCCCACTTACCAGCATGCTATATTATGCCTCTGAAAAATGAAAAGGGAAGTGTACACCCTTTATTTTGTCACACATCTATATCTGCATATTTTTCTAGAGTTGAGCCTATAATTTAGAAAAAAGGAAATCCTTTTAAAACCAGCCAGGTTAATTTGATGTCAAGTTCAAGCATTTTTTTTTTTATTATTAAAAGGCTACCTAAATGGTAAATCCAAAGGTTAAAGAAAATAGCTGCATAAGAACAGTCTTTTGATTTAAAGGAAATATATTGAGGCAGATCTACACACATTTAACAAAAACCCCAGGATGATTCAATATAGCATTAATTTTATGGTAGTTTGTTGCCAGAGGCTTCACCCTTGCTTACAGAATCAAATTTTGCCACTCAAAAGCATAAAGCAAATCAGTTTTCAACATTTTAAACTTATTTTTAAAGAGAAACATCCTTTATGTAGTATAAAATGGAAAGAACCTGCTAGTCTATATAATAAAAGCCTAATATAAGGCCGAAACCGGTTTGGCTCAGTGGATAGAGCGTCGGGTCTGTGGACTGAAAGGTCCTAGGTTCGATTCCGGTCAAGGGCATGTACCTGGGTTGCGGGCACATCCCCAGTGGGAGATGTGCAGGAGGTGGCTGATCGATGTTTCTCTCTCATCTATGTTTCTAACTATCTCTCTCCCTTCCTCTCTGTAAAAAATCAATAAAACATATTTAAAAAAAAAAAAAAAAAAAGCCTAATATAAGTGTCGGGTCAGCAGCTCGACCAATCAAAATGTAATATGCTAATGATATGCTAAGGTCACTCAACCGCTCACTATGACATGCACTGACCACCAGGTGGCAGACGCTCCGACCAGTAAGTTAGCTTGCTACTGGGATTAGCTGATTGGGACTGAGCAAGATGAGCTGGACACGCCCTGGAGCACTCCCGCAGTCCCTCCCTGGCTGGCCAACCTCCTGCGTCCCTCCCTGGCCACAATTGTGCACCAGTGGGGATCCTTGGCCAGGCCTGTGCCCTCTTGCAGCCCAGGACCCCTCAGGGGATGTCGGAGAGCCAGTTTCTGCCCAATCCTGCAGGCCAGGCCGAGGGACCCCACTGGTACACGAATTTGTGTACAGGTAGGGTCTGTCGCAGCCCCTCCTGGCACCCCGCCTTGGCCTGATGCTGTCCCATCACCTGCCTGCAGGGTTATCTATTAGGGTCGAGCCCCCTACCCCTCCCACCCAGCTCCCTCAGCACCTGGGAGCCAACAATCAGATCCCTGCTCACACCTGCCTTGGCCTGGTGCAGCCTGCTTACCTGCTCCACCATCCCACCATGGTCCCACTCTCATTGGGGCCCGTCACCGCCTCTACTGCCGCATGCTGCCAGCACCGTGTCACCGACGCCTGCCATGTTCCGTGCCATCCCCTGGTGTTCAGCGCACATCATAATGAGCAGTCGAGGGAACAATTTGCATATTAGGCTTTCATTATATGGGAATAGAGGCCTGGCGCACAAATTTCTCCATGGGTGGGGTCCCTCGGCCTGGCCGGTGACCGGGGCCAAGGGAGGTTGGCTAGCCATGAGAGGTTGGCTGTGGGAGTGCACTGACCACCAGGGGGCCGTTACTGTGTTGAGCGTCTGGCTCCTTTGGTCAGTGCATGACATAGCAACCGGTCAACCAGTCATTTGGTTGCTTAGACTTTTATATATGTAGATTGCCCTAAGCCAGTTTGGGTCAGTGGATAGAGCAACAGCCCTCAGACTGAAGGGTCCTGGGTTCTATTCTGGTCAAGCACACATACCTTGGTTGCAAACTTGATCCCCAGTCCCAGTCGGGGGCACATGTGGGAGGTAATTGATGTGTCTCTCTCACATGGATGTTTCTCTGTCTCCTCCAAAAATCAATGGAAAAATATCCTTGGGTGAGGATTAACAAAACAACAAAAGAAACCACACTTTTAGGCCCTGGCAGTTGTGGCTGGGTTGGAGCATCGACTTGAGTGCCACAAGGTTGCTGGTTTGATTCCAGTGGGGGCACATATCTAGGTTTTAGGTCAGGGCACTTATAGAAGTAAACCAATGTTCTCTCTCACATCGATGTGTTTCCCTCTCTCCCTCCCTCTCGCTCTAAAGTCAATAAGCATATCCTCAGGTAGGGAATAAAAAAAAATCTAGCTACACCCGAACCAAGTTAACTTCTCTATGCACCACCACTTGGCTATATCATCTCTTGACTGTGCTAGTGTTAGCTCCTCTTTAGTGGTAGATTGCCACCCCTCCCACCAATTCTCCACAGGACAACCATAATGAGGTTTTGAAAAAGAAAATTTGGCCCTATCCAGTTTGGCTCAATGGATAGAGTGTCAGCCTGTGCACTGAAGGGTCCCAGGTTCAATTTGGTTAAGGGCACATGCCCAGGTTGTGGGCTCAATCCCCAGTAGGGGGCATGCAGGAGGCAGCCAATCAATGATTCTCTTATCACTGATGTTTCTCCCTCTGCCTTTGAAATCAATAAAAATATATTTACAAAAAGAGATAATTTGATCCTGTCATAGGCCTCCTCCTTTAAAGTTCAAGGGTTTCCCACTGTTCTTGGGATAAGCAAACATCCTTCTGCAGTCCAGTATGGCCTTGCACCTTCTTGTCTCTGGCCACCAGAACTCCTGAAGGCCTTTTAAGGGCCTCACAGGACCTTTGCACTGGCTGTTCCCTCCACCACATTATTAATTCCTGTTTTTCATTCAGACCACTGCTGAAACTTCACTTCCTCAACCCCCCAGACTAGTTCAGTTACTGTGCTTATAACTCTATGTCTCTTTTCTTTAAACCCTTATTACAAGTGCAATGGGCCAAAGTGCTATGTAAAGCAATATATGAAAAAAAAACAACAAAAAAAAACCCCACTGCATTTCAGTGCATGTTTTCTTATTCCTTTCTTTTTTAAATACTAGAGGCCCGGTGCACAAAAATTTGTGCACTGGCGGGGGTGGAGTCCCTCAGCCCAACCTGTACCCTCTCACAGTCTGGGACTCCTCGGGAGATAACCACCTGCTGGCTTAGGCCCACTCC